TGCACTAATTTTAACGTTTTTCTCCACCCTTACGGATACGAATACTTTTAAATAATTATCAAGTGAAGCACAAGACTCTCACTAAACCATTTTACTGCATAACCTAGGCTACGGCACTACAGAGCAGATCTCCTTCCAGCCCTGTCCACTCCCCTTAGCCTCCCACCATGACCTGGTGTCTGGTAGCCCCATGCCTCCTCCCCAAGCTTGGCAAGGGCGGCCACGGGAGGGACAAGCCAGGGAGTCACCCCACCAGCAGAAAACCATAGGCTTTACCTGGGCTTAGGCAGTTTTGGGGAGGGTTGAAGAAGGAATAGCCTCATACTCTTTTGTCTTTTGGCATTTCTAATATGCCTACTCGTGATCTTAAAAAATAACATCAAGGAATTGTTTCAGAACACAGTTGCAGCTTTTAAGGAAAAATCTTGTTTTACTAAATCCACTGGGGATATTACTGTGATTTTAGGAGAGATACAGTTCAGTTCTTGCTCCCTTGAATCCATTTAGTAATAGACATTCACAGTATTTGGAACAACGCTCCAAGAATACTGTAATGTTTTCATCCACATTGAAAATACTGTCATGTTAACAGAATATTATTTCCCTAACTTATTTTCTTTTTTGTTCTTTAAAATGGGGTTTTTTAACGTCCCCAAAATATTCTCAGTTATTAATTTCAAGGTGTGATTCCCACATCCTATTTCTCTATATGTCAACTCTCAATAAGCTGCTGCAGTGTCTAGCAGAGATTGCATGGACACACTTTTACTGATCACCTATATCTTGTCTTTCAGATTCCCATACTATTTTTGTTGTCTCATGTAGCACTGGAAATCCAGGAAACCGCTGTGGTCCATGGGCTGCCCAGTAAACATAACCACAGTTTTCTAGGTTCCTTTAATTCAGATGCTATTGTTTAAAACCAAAACCAAACATCCCGTGTTTAGACTGTCTCTAAAAACCTACAATGCTGTAAATCACCAATGTGAAAATAACTTGGTTCCAAATAACTTTGGAACTGACCCAATGTAGTTCCCATATCCCTGATGCTATGGCTGAAAGGGGTTTTGTCTCAAATGTTCACCTTTACTACAGAAGTGGAGTGCTTTAAACGCACATTATAAACAACTGCAATATAAGAAATGTTTATATTTGTTAAAGCAAAATCATTTGATCTAATTCACCAATGTATCACCTTCGCCTGTGTAAGAAGATCCAATCCTAGGAAGACTTCCTTATGCAGATTTATGGCCGTTCAGAGGAACAGTTCTCCAGTATCAGGCAACTGTGGCATATAATTATATTCTGCCAAACATAAGGATTAACTCTGAAAACGCCCAAGTGAGATGATGACAAATATTTTACATTAATTGCTAATGAACTTTTTAAAAGTCAGTCTTTCAGAAGAAGTAACGACGTAGCCCTGTGGCGAGCGCTTCACTGCAAACTGCGGGCCCCACCCAGGACCCGGCGGGGGGGGCAGCGCTCAAACGGCACGTAGAGGCGGCCCCGGACTCGTTCAAGCAGCGGTTTATAAATCCGAGCCTGTTGATGCCGGTTAAGCACAAGCGGGAAGGTGAAGGACCCGCCGCCCCCGCCCGCGGCGGAGCCCTCCCTGCCGCCCCGCGTGCCCTCTCGAGCGGCGGCTCGCGCGCAGGCTCTCTGGGCGGTGTGCAAAAACTCCAACAGGTGGCTCCGTGGCGCAATGGATAGCGCATTGGACTTCTAGAGGGTGAAGGGATTCAAAGGTTCCGGGTTCGAGTCCCGGCGGAGTCGTGTCTTCTCTTTTTCCCCCTTCCCTCCCCTTTTGGCTTACATTTTTCACCCCGCTCTCCCGTCTCTTACCTCATCGGCGGAGAAATCCGTTCCACCGACCCGGCGCTTCCCGGACGCCGGTTCCCGTCACGGAGGCGCTCTGGGCCCGCCTCCCGGCGCGCCTGAGGTCGAGCGGGGAAGCCTGGGAGCGGCCGGAGATAACGGCAGCAGCCTCTATCGAGCGTGGCGGCGAAGGAGCTGTCTCCGCCGTGCCCCGCCGACACCGAGGTGCTTCACCGCCGGCGAGAGGTTCGAGGAGGGCCGCCGTCTGCCGCCACAGGCGGCGGCTCCCGTCCGCGCCGCCCCCAACTCCCCTCAGCCGCGCGGCGGGCAGGCGCCAGCGCGCGCAGGGAGCCCGTGCTGTTACAAGCCCCAGAGAAGCGCCGCGCGGCCGCGCGCAGTGCCCTCAGTACCTACCGGCCTCCGGGCCCGGCCGCCAGCTTCCAGAACCGTCTCCGGAAACGAGTTTCACCTGAAAATAAGAGTCTCTCACCCCAGCGATGGCACCGCGCGCTGCTGGTGAAAGGTATTCTCAAGCAACAAAAGCAGCCCGCACAACGCAGCAAACAAACCCGAAGCATTTCTCACTTGAATTAATACCATCTTTTCTTCCTAACTCACACATACCTATAAGATAGAAGAGTAACAGCAATCGAATAAAAAAAATAAAAAATCATAGAATCATACGGGGTTGGAAGGGACCTGTAATTGGGTGGTAACACACGAAACGGCAGCAGCGCTGAACAAACCTCCTTGATTGTGCTCAGGATTGAATAAATTATAAATTAATCTGATTCATTTCAATTTGTGGGGTTTTTTCTTGATAAATTATTCTTAATCCTGCATGTGTGACTACGGCTTCTCTTTCAAACCAGTAATATTTAAATGCGATATAGGAAAAATCCACATAATAGAAATGAGACACACCATCAGGAACATTAACAATCACAGTAACCCACTCAGGAGTGCCATCTAGCTATAAAATCTATATAACCCTTTACAGAAACATCAAACTTTCTCAGGATTTGCAGATAAACAGCAGAACTAAAACACCTGTACATTAACCTCATAAAAAGCAACTAAATCAAGTGACAGAAGGCAAAAATGTTCCTCCTTGGTCTGTCACTTCCAGCACTGCAAATACTATTTCCCTTTCTACTTTTTGTATTTAAATATAACAGAATAAAATTTGTTTAGTTCCAAGTCAAAACAGTTTGAAGGCAGAGGCTTTTACGTATACATGTTTGCATACTGCAAGCAATATTTACAGAATCAATACTGTAAAAATGCACAAGTTATTATGGGTTACAGTCCGAAAGAAAATGAGAAAGCTGCAGGTTCGAGGAGCAGGCCATTTCCTAGAGGTAAGCACAGGGACTGTACACATTCTAACATGAACCTGAGTGGAAAAGTATAGGGACAAAATTCCAAAAAATACTTGTATGAAGAGGGTTTTGAGGAAAATGTTGCACTGACAATATACTTACAGTTTTTCAGAATGCATGAAGAGAATCAGGACAAAAAAAAAAATCAAGAACTACAGCAAGCAGTATGAAGTGGACAGATGCTGCTTGCTACAAAATTTATGTCCTCAAACCAGAATATGGAGTAATTAAAAAACAAAAGCAATGTGAAGACAAAGACGCAGTCTAATAATCCTTTTATCCGACTGGATATGAAGAACCTTTTTGCTGTGAGGAAACTCAAGCAGTGGAGCTCTGGGAGATGTGCAGTCTCCATCTGTGTAGATTTTCAAGACCTGACTGTGTAAAGCCCCGATCAACCTGGTCTAAAGCTCCTCTGAGCAGGAGGCTGGGCAGGACAAGCTCGCACGGTCCCTTCCACCCTGTGTTATGGCAGGATTCCAAGTCTCAGCAAGACTTACCTAGGTAGGCTCCTGTGGTAAAGGCAGGACTTTTTAAAAATTAAGAAATCAACAAAAATAGCAATGATATCTTCAGTTTTAAGGAGACTAAGCTGATTGCAGAGAGAAGATTGAGGACCCCCAAAGAAGGGAAAAGAAAGAAGTGTGAACAATAAGAGCATAACAGAGAAAAGTTAAGTATTTTCCTTCTGTTCCTAAACTAACCATACCTGCAAGTTGCACCAGCAACTCCTCAGCCACTGTCAGCCTAATCCCTTTCCATTGCAGCCTTTTGACTGTGACATCCAGGGGATGGACTGTGAACTCACTGGGCTGTACAACCACTGGACAGTCTCTGTCCCAAGGGCAAGAAGAAAAAGAAATACTGGCAAAACCAAGGGGAGCACAAAGAAACAGGAAAAAGGAATTATTACTGTCCAACAAAACATTCCAGTGACATCCAAACCAACAAAAGCTGTTGTATAAACAACTCCAACATGGTACCTACTGCCCTTCCAATCTCGTTAATAATGGTTTATATCATTAAAGGCAAAATTACAAATTAACACATAACAGCAAGAAAATACTACTTGCATTTAGAATCAAAGTTTCTCAAATGATGCTAGTGTTTCACAAATATATTTTTTTAATGTATGAGTATTTTCAGAGAAATCTGGTAAGTTTATGCAACCACATGGTGTATTTCATTTTTACTCTCTCCCCAGCAACTGAAGCCTTATTGACAATTTCAGTCAAATTTAATTGAAAGGTAGAGGAGTCCAAAATACTACCTGCCTATGCTTTTATGAAAACTGGTGGTTAAGAAAAGGTACACTAACTAGTGCTTTAACTAAAAGCAGCTGAAGCACAAGCTCAGGCAACAGCTGACTGTCCAGCTGGCAAACACGGCCCGCAAGCGCTACCCTGCAGCCCAGCAAACAGCCTGGTACATCTCGCCTCAGGTTCAGAGAGGAACACAGACACCTGCTGGGCACAGCGTGTGGTAAAACAGGAGAAATCAGAAAAATCAAAAGGAAAGAATATAGAACATAAAGCAAATCCCTCACTAGCGATGTAGTACATGAAGTAATTTCTGTCACTAGGTATCGAGCAGCCTGAACAGTTGGTTGCTGTGTAACGCCAAAGCTTGCATTTCTCTTTTAAGGTCTTTCAGAGTTGTACGTTGCTTTTCCACAGTTGCACTTGAACATCCCAGGATGCAAGAGAATGACAACTAATATGGTGCCTTGCTTTCTTTCCTCAGTGTTCAGTATTACTGGTTTTGTGCTTCCACGTCTCATCCAGAGAATGAGACACCGTATTTGTTTTTATTGGCTTTATCTTTTACAGAGAATTGAGATATTAGCATACATATAATTGTATTAGCATAGCATCTGCATGTTAGCTGAGACTCAGGGACTTGTACGTGTTTGATACTTCCCAATGAATTCACTTTGCTCTGCACACCATTCATCTCCAGGCGGTCAAGACTTCTAAGGAACATACATCCTCATCTGTCTTTTGTAGCAAAACATTATGGTCAACTTCAGAATGTAAAAAAAAAACCCAAAGGATCAGGGGAAAATTTCTTTCAAGCTTCAGTTGATGATCAATATATACACCATGATGCTCATTTCAGTTTAGCTATTTTCAGCACAAATAGCTAATGCTTAAAAAGCAATTACGACTCATTCTCAGTAGCAGAAAAGAACACACTTCTTCTTCAAGATCTGCAACCTTTAAAATTCAGTGTTTGTATGGTAAGAAAACAATCAACATCACTGATAATCAACAACTCTGATAATCACTTCTAAATCTCACCCAATCCACCTAAGAAAATGTAGCGACAGTGTTATGTCTTCTATTATCCGTCCTTTCTGCTACCTACGGGGCAGTAACTGAGTTACACTGATTGTAACAGCAATATACTAACTCCTCCATTAAAAACCAACCAAACACCACAACAGTTCTGACACTCACAAGAGGTTATGAACCGTCACCACAGGGGAACTGAGCTGCTGCCACCTCTGCTTCTATAATGGCAGCACAGGCCTTCCAAACTCACTCTATCCATTTACCTGAAGAACTATTCCAAATGAGCTACCAGACCACAACCTGCACAGTGTGCCCTAGATAATGGATCCCACCACCAGGTTATTTTCAGAAACATCATTAGACAATTATCAAATGGTAAATATTAATAAAAGCAATTTATGACTGAATGTTACAATTTTATGTATAAATAATACATATGTACTTTATATATTAAACAATATGTAATATTTCTCTTATTGTGTTTATATTTATTTTAAAATTATATCTATTATTTATATTATAATGTAAATATATATGTATATGCTGAATTCCAGGATATTCTCAATCCTATTGGTCAATGTTGAAACCAAACTATTTCTCAATACCTTCTATTACAGAATTGGCAGCAACACCTCCAACGAGATACGGAAAAATTTGTTCTGGCAGATAATGGGTGCCAACATGAATTACACATGTAACTTTAAACTGAATTTACTAATTCATTGGTGTAAAGACTGAAGCCTGAAAAGACCACAATCCATGAAGTTGCATTTTGTGTTCAGATTTAACCATATGCTTTCATATAATTATCTTTTTACATAAATACTAATTTAAATAAAAAATTTATTTTAAAATCTAAATTAATTTAAAATTTAGATACCTGATAATTCGATAAAGCTCCCTACCTACCAAATTCCCACTGCAAGGAATTCCCTAAACCTCCATTTGCACAACCTGCAATCTTAAAGAAAAAACCACCACAACCAAAGCATTCTGTAAAAAGTTTTATAATAACTTGATCCAGCTTGGTTTTTTTCTTCAAGTCTTAATTGCGAAATTTCTTCTTCTTCCGATTCCTCTTCCCTGCTGCAAAAGCTGCTTTTTCACTCAAGATCTCCTGATACTTCTTTTTATTATATCTGAACAAAATAGATAATTTACTTTTAAGCATGGTAAATCAAAGTTCAGGAAAAGATAGCATGGAAAGTACTCTACATATATAATTTGCCAAACTGAGTTCTCTCATGTTTTCTGAGTCAGATTTCTTTAGTTTTATACATTTATACATAGGTAAAGGGAAATCAACACTTGAGTTAATGATAAGCGTAGATAAATTTGTTTTGAAGTAAATTTGATTGAAGAATCATTAATTTAATTTTTGGCATAACCAAGGAGTTCTTCAATGCCTATGCAATCACATTTTGTACAGTTTGCTCATAGTGCGAAGACTCATCCATTTTGAAAATACTATGGACAAATTACGTGTATTTTTTTACTGTCTTCTCAGGAAACTCAAGATAATCAACCTTGCTCTGCTCAAGACTGAAAACTGAGATGAGATTAACACTAAACAATGAACAAGATATACTTACTGAATATGAAATGCTAGCTCCTCTAACACAGATTCTTAGGTACTTGGACCAATTACCACAACGGATTACTGCACACCGAGCAGTACTGAGGCTTTTAATTGCGACACTGAAACCTGACAAATATCTGCACTAATGCTGAAGTATCTGGTTAAAGCCCTTCATTAGCCACAACATAAATTAACTGATCAAATTTCAAAGACATTAATTTTTGAAAATAGCTTCTAATAAATACCTTATAAATCAGGTCAAACCAGAAAACTAGTTAAGAAATAGCTATACTAACTTGCCTTCCCAACATTAATAATTTTTGCAAGCCTGACGACATTATCCTCGTAATCCCAAATAATGTACTTCCAAGAAAATGTCATTATGTGAAAAAAGAGGTGCAGATTAACATTATGTCATAACTCATATGAAAATGAATCAACTAAGGGATCTACTCCAGAAATCGTAGGTTAGGCAGACATTAATTAATCCAGCCTTCTAGAGAAATTTTGATTCCTATGACAGGAGGCAGACTGACATGCTTATAAAACGAAATCATATCAACTTTCATAGAATTACAGTCAGCACTTTCATATCAATTAGGACAAGAAAAAATATTCAGTCTTTACACAACAAAGAGTGCATGCATAGGCATAAATCACTCATCAGAGCCCTTGGTTTTTGGTGTGAGCCTGTGAAGACCTTATTTTAGAAGTGAACCAGAATAGGACTGATATGTTACCTCTTCAACACTGACATTAAGAGTGGCTCCCAATAGTGATGGCCTGAGTTGGATAAAACCCTCTTATGAATATAAAAATATGCTGTCTCAGTCTAACTATCCCCTGTCCCTTAGATATTCTCAATGGCAGTACTGCTGGAGTGCTAAAACAGACTAACACATTTTCTTTGAAATATAAAGAAAACATATAAGCCTAATAAAAACCACAGAAGTTACACAGTTAAAAATACTCCTCTCTCACATAGGATATTAGAATTACAAAACAGTTTTTAAATACCTTCTAAACTCAGAATCCGCAAGCAGCTCTTCAACAATTGTCCTCTTCCTTTGTTTCTTAGGGATTCGACTATGGTAAAAGTCTATGGGAGAATCAACCACAGTTCCAACCTTGAAAACAGAAATGAAAACATTGTTACTGCACAGCAAGATGTTGATTATTTTGCCTTTTTTTTTTTAATCCTCAGGAACATGTGTAAAGACACCTGAAGAGATCAGAACGGTATCCTAAGAAAGTGCAAAATATCAAAAGAATTAAGCAGTGTTTTATATGCAGAGTCACTTTTTGTCTCATTTTTTAGTGCACAGAGGAAGAAAACAGAGTTTTCAACACTGGACTGCTGTGTCAATGCATCCTAACTTTTTCCTGCCTCTGTCACTGTGGTGGTTTTGCCGATGGCTACACAGCAGTTAATCCAGCTCTAATACAAGGGCTTCATCCTGGAATGCATCACATTTTTTTCCAACCAGCACGTTAGCCAGTTCTGACAATTCACTTTGGTAGTGGAGATACATGGAGTGAGAACAGACCTGCCAGAAACATAGAAGACTCACCCTCTAGAGTGAAGTGGTAATATTTTGAGAAATGAAAACAATTTCCTCAAGCATGATAACTATTCAAACAGGCGTAAATAGATGGAAGCCTATTTCTGTAGTTTCTGCAGTAATTATTTTCTTTATGCAAACCAACTCAAATCTGAGAGCTACAGCGGCAGAAATTCCAGCTGATCACAAAGCTAGCTGTCTCCTTTCAAACTGTATTAGCTAGTCAACAAATAAATGCAATTGTTAAAAAAGGCTGTTACTTAAAATAAAGTGCTGAAAAACAAGTCCACTGAGGGTTTAGAGTACGAATTAAGACAGACGTTCGGTACTATGAAATTAGCTGAAATGAAAACACCTAGCATATACATGTAAGTAATATAGAGTTAAGAAGTTGTAAACTGCAGCCAAGTAATCAAAATACTTTAATAATTAAGCTATGAAATTAAATCGACATAGAGGCTACCTACAAGATAGACAGGGAATAAGAACAGCTGTTCAGAACTTCAGAGGTAACAATGCCACCTTCTGCTGCTTCCTTACCTGAAAGTACTTGGGTAGACCATCTCTATCATTCTTCTTATAAAAATGCTTAGGGTCCAACGAAGCTCTCATCTTCAAAACTTTAAGATCATTTTTCAGTTCACTTGTGATTTCTGGGGCTTTCATACCAAACCAACCGTCACCCGTTGTTTTGGCTCGCTCTGCCTAGGATGCAATACCAAGAATAATAAATTTACATTCAGCAACTAGGACAGGACAGAGCAGGGAACTCTCCCCTCCAAAAGATGGATAAAGCATTTAGAATGCTTTAAAAAGCATATTTTACAACCCTTATTATAAGGTCATCAGTACTGTATTAATGACAGATTTGTACCATCTCAGCACGCTATCTTTCATTTTACTGTCCTGGTGACTGATAGGATGGCTTTGCACAAGATGGCTCAAGGAAGACACTAAATTGCAGTTCATCACTCCGCTTCCAGTGAGGCTGGTTATACGCACACAGTTCCAGCAGGGGGTTTTCTACCAAAGCTGCTTGTTTTCTTTTAGGTATTATCAGTTCTTCACTTACCCTGCGCTGCTTCTTTAGCTGGTGAAGCGATTCCCTGAAGGGCGGGACACATTCCTTTTTTTCAAAATCTGGAGTTATTATACTCTTCTGCAGGAGCTGTAAGAATTTTTTAATGTCAGACACTCATCTCACTGATACAAATTGTACTGATTCACTATATTTGCGGAACCTACTAAAGGAATCATGCGGAATGTAAGCAAGCATTGTAGTACAATACTTGAGCTTCTCTAGTCCACAACAAAAGTAGCAGGGATCCTCAAAACAGAATCCTGGCCAACAATGGAAAGCAGCTGGCTCACTCTGGAAGAAGGGAGGTAGCAAATGCTCTAGAATAAAGAGTGCTATCATGGATGAGCCTAAGAAAACAGTCTCGATGAAAATAACACATCTCCTTTATCTCAAAGGGTGCTTTTGAAATAAAACTGCTAATTTTGTATTAGGGACAATACAGGATACAGGCCTTTGTTTACTGAAATTCATTCTTGCTATGGACTAAATATCTTGTTAGCAGACCTTCAGCTTGCGTACCACTAGGCAAAACTGCAGGCATAATCAACTTTGTTTTGTTTTACAAGATAATGCTGGTATTTGCACTGTTTTAGGTTTCAGGAGTGTCACATATTTAAATTCTTACCATTAAAACCAAACGTAAAACCATACTTTGGCCAAAAAGAATGGAAATTCTCAAGAAACCATAAACCGGGAAACATCTTTAAAAACAAGCAAACCAACCATTTTAAATTAACACATTTGCATTAATATAGTAATAGGCAACCAAATAATTGTAAACACATTACCTGGTCCTTCTTTTTCTCCTTCAGTTGTTTAATTGCACCTGATCTAGGGTTCTGTTTTTTTGCATCAAAACTAATATATAAACCTCCAAGCTTCTTGATATTCAAACCAGGGTCTATGCTGCTGGAAAGATGTAAACTAAAAGAGAAATAGTTAATGATTAGAATATTGTAAAAAGCACGCAGCTAAACCACCTACTGTCCTCCGAGACAGATAACCAGAAAAAGTGTTTTTCTTATTCTTCCCTCTTAGGTTCAGTTCTGTGACAATTTTAAGTCTCAGTATGTAGAAGTACATAAATTAACAGGTGACAAAGATGGGGGGGAAGAAATCATGCCATTATACGAAGTGAGAGTTTGTTAAGGAACAGTACCTGTGGAATCACATCCACAAATCTTTCATATTAACTCTTATGCTATAACTCTAAGGCTGGAGCACCTCTCCTACAAGGAAAAGCTGAGAGAGTAGTGATTGTTCAGCCTGGAGAAGAGAAGGCTTCTGGGAGACCTTATAGCAGCCTTCCAGTACCTAAACGGGGCCTACAGGAGAGATGGGGAGGGACCCTTTATCAGGGAGCACAGCTAAAAGTGAGGAGATTTAGATTAGATATCAGGAAGAAATTCTTTAGTGAGAGGGTGGTGAGGCACTGGAACAGGTTGCCCAGAGAAGCTGTGGGTGCCCCATCCCTGAAGGTGTCCAAGGCCAGGCTGGATGGGGCTTTGAGCAACCTGCTCTAGTGGGAGGTGTCCCTGCTCAGGGCAGGGGGGTTGGAACTAGATGATCTTTAAGGACCCTTCCAACCCAGACCATTCTATGATTCTTCTCCTAGATATAACTATCTTCTATAAAACTGAATTCTGAATTCATTTAGCCTTGCCAAAAGAATTCATGACTAGCACCCTTCTACACATTGAGAAGCTTGCTAGCTAAAAAGAAAAAAAAAAAAAATCAAAACACAAAAGCACAAACATAGGAATGGTAAAAATATTGTCAACTCTTACTGAAAAGTATGAAGAAGCTAGAATTCACCATAGTAAAGCTTAAGTCCTTGTCTGTATAACGGTACTGAGAATAACATTATTAAACATTTCAAAGGTAGTATGTGTCACATTTTTTTCATTACTTTGTTCAGGCAAAGGAGTGTATCTTCCAACAATGTGCAGTGGCTGACTGAAAAGGTTTTTGATGACAAGAATGCCTAAAAGCTATAAAGTATTATGGAGAAATACAGTAATATCTAAAGAGGTACAGCAGATACTTATTATAGCTTGAATGTTTATTAATACAACTCCTTTACAACTTTCTATTAAACTGTGACTAATCTTTTATGATACCTTTACACTGAATGCTTGGCTAACTTTTTGCAAGACCTCTGGCCTACCTGAAGGCTTTCAGAAGAATAAAACTTATTTATCCAGCCTAAACAGAGTATTATGCTTTTAACATATGAAGCATACAAAGATTTTAGCAGGAGTTGGACTACAAGAGCTCAAGAGCTCCCATCCAACCTCAACTACTCTATGATCCCATGCTGGGCTGATTTCACTTGAAGTGTCACCGTCCCACAGTACAAGAACTGAAAACGTAAATGCATATGCAACTGTTTAGGATTAAAAAGCATGACCTAATTAGACAATGTGTAAGAAATTTACTGGGCATTTTGTTCTTTATATCCAAACTAAAAAATCAACCATTATGAAATCCGTCAGCCTGACCAGTTTAAGCCAATTTCACATTTTGTTTTTTAAGCCAGACACATACAAGGCCTCCAGATGCCAATTCTCTTCTGCTATACACAAAACTGGAAAAAAGCAAACCCTGAATTTATGGACTGTATTTGTATTTTATAATCTGTGCAACCCCACTTTCCATGTCAATGACTTATGCAATGAGACTCCTCCCTTATATATGCTGCATCATTTAGCACTTAATGCATATATCCTACGTGTATGCTTAAATGAAAGGCAGATTCTTTATTTCCCAAGTTATTCCCAAAGCAATACTTACACATCAATCTGATTTTTCAACAAATCATCATCTTCATCCTTCTCATCTTCATCTATCAATTCCTCTTCAGCCTCTTCCAGATCTGAGGATTCCTCACCTTTTTCACTCCCTTCATGCTTATTTTCAGCATCACTAGCTTGATCTACCTGATCTAGATAATACTTTTGGCTGGAACTCATGCCAGGCTCAGTATCAATTACAAAAAGCCCTTCAGCATGCAGTGAACTGTTTTTCAAAGATTTCTTGAAGGAAGGAGTCCTCTTACCTGCCTCTTCATAACACAGATTCTCTTCAACTGCATCTATGTCTGCCACATCACTATTTTCAGACTCATCACTTTCATCTTTGCTCAGAAACAATGCAACAGAATTATTTCCATTGCTTGATCTTTCACTGCTGTGGGATACAGATTCAGCATGTTCTCCTGTTTGGTCTTCAACTCCATCCACACTGATTTCAAACATGGTGCTCCTACCAATGCTATCAGTTCTTTGTGAAACAGCTATGTCCTTTTGTGAGCTGCTCGCTGCACTAGCTTGCTCACCCTGTCTTAATTTATCAGCATGGGTGAAAGATTGCTGTGCATCTGCTCTTTTGCATGCAGAAGTTTTTTTACTTTTATTTGATGTTATTTGTTCTTGGGATTCTAAAAATTGTTTAGGACTCACGCAATCAGTCAAAGAAAGATCCATACGCTCTGATTTCCCCTCCCTTGTAAGTATCTTACTGTTTTCTTCTTGAATTTGCCCACATGCTTCCTCTGAATCGTCTACCTCAACAGACTGTCTTTTTCCTGCTTTTTTTCTAGGTGATTCAGTGTCACTTATTTTCATTTTTCTGAGGCTAGTAGGTGTTACATCATTCAAAACCTCTTCTTTCATGCCTTCACTCTTGGTTGTATTGGTAAATTTGGAAGAACTTTTGCTTTCAGGTGAATTGGGTTCTTTATTATCCTCGGTGACAGAGGAAGCATCGTCTGTGTCAGAGACAAGTTCTGCAGCAGGTCTAGAATCAGAAATTTTTACTGGCTCAGATTCAACAGTGTCTTCTATTAAATTCTCATCTTCTGAAACAATTACGTTTCCTTTCTCAGTCTGCTTAATATTTTCTGCTTGTGATTTCCTTTGCATGCTCCGAGTAACTCGTTTGGTAGTGACAGATGGTTCCGTATGAGAACTTAAGCAGCATGACTCTGCGTCAGAAATATCTTCACTCTGGGCTTCAGGAACTGTATCTGGCTGCAATTTCTTTTTGCTCTGCCTGCTTCTTGTAGTTCTGGTGACATTAGGCATCTGGACACCAGAAACTGCAGAGGAACAAGACTCAGCTTCAGAGGTATCATCTTCATCCAGAATTCTGTTTAACTTCTTTACAAAGGCTGCCCTGTCATGTCTTTTTTTGTCAGGAGAATCCAGCTGACAAGGAACTACAATTTGACGCCGCCTTGTTACTCTTACAATCAAAGGTGTCTGAAGACCAGACACAGCAGAGCAGGTTGATTCTGTTTCTGACACATCCCCATCAGCTTGTCGTTCAGCAACAGATTGTGCTGAATAAACAGTTCTGCTCTCATTTCTAGTAATTTGCATCTCTAAGCTATCACTGACATCTGACTTTGTTTCTGCATGTTCCACCTCTTCAAACTGGGATTCCTGAATTACCTCTGGCTTATGAATTGATTTACTACTTCTTCTAGTCCTCATAGACACAGGAATACTAGTTTCAGCAGATGCCACCTAGAAAAGGAGTTAAAAGAAGAAAAAAAGGTGTGCCATTGACAAATAATAGCTACGCAAATTACTAACAATCTTTTTAAACCAATCTACTCAAGCTGATAACGTATTACATGCCCCTGTGTAACCTTATCTACGTGGAAAAGGTGTTGACAAACCAACCCTCACTTATCTGTCTACTGTCTTTTGCTCTAAGGCAGGAAAAGAAACACACACATCCATTAAGCATCTTCTAAATTTAAAAAGTTCTAGCAAGCTGTCATGGGAAGCAAATCCAGAAGCGATGTTCAGAAACACTGAAAGATTTGGTCTACTATAAAACACTGAAGCCTAGTAACTGGCAGAATGTTCCCCAAAATGGTTTCCATAACCGATTTTAGCAGTTTTAGGAACAGACGGGCCTCACAGCAACTGCAACACTAGGTATGATCTCCTTCAACGACGCTTGTAAGTTACCTGGAAGGCAATTCAAAATTTTGGAAAGAAAAAACACTCGAAAACATCAGGATCTCCCCAAAACACAGATCCACACTGGAACAACACAAACCATGTTACATAAACGATCAGTATTTACGCCGGTGGAAAAGCCCTAGAGAAATACTGAAGTAACTGCAGCGCAAAGGAAAAAAACCCAAGTGATGCCCTAACCCTTAACTCGCGGCGTTAAACGTTTCGCGACCCACAGCGGCTGCGAGCCCGGAGGGAGGCAGGCGGCAGTAGGGCCCCGCACCGCTGCGGCACCGGCGGGGCGCGGCAGGCGGGCCCACTGCTGCCCCTGCCCGGCCACCGCTCCCCGCCACCAGCCCGGGCTGCGCCGCCACCGCGCCCCATGGAGTGGGCGGCCTCCACCGCCCGCCCGCTGCGGGCACCGGGGAGGGCCTCGTGGGGAGGCCGCGTGTGTGCGTGAAGATGGCTGCCACCGCCCCGCACGGCCGGCGGCGTCCGGTTGCCCTCACCCCCCGCTCCCGGCCCCCCCTCACCTCCGCCGCGCCGGCGGGCCCGGAGGGGCTGCGGCTGCCTCCCCCGGGCCGCGCCGCCGTCTGGTCTCGGCGCTTCGCCGCCGCCCGCCTGGTGGCCACCATCTTGCCCGGCGCGGCGCGACGTGCCCGCCCCTTCCGGCGGCGCGGGGCGGGAGGGGGGAGCGCCGGCCCCGGAGGGCGGGCGGCAGAGCCGGGGGAAGCGCGGCGGGAGGCGCCCAGGGCTGGAGCCGCCAGAAGATGGTGAAAGCCCAGAGCCTTTTGTGACACAGTGTAAACCGGTGTTATCGGGAGGGTGAGAATTCACACCAGGCACAGATTAAAAGCCTCCAAGGATTTCAAATTTTAATTCAAACTTTCAAGTTTCTCATGGAAGGAAATCCCATCTCTCCCCACTTTGACACAAAACAAATTAATGAGACAACCTGATAACATGTCACACTGTCAGCAATTCTAGAAAAATAAGATTACCACGTCTTGAAGTTATCATGTCTTAAGGGGTACTTTTCTACAGCAAGCAAATCGTTAACAGTTTACAGAAAGGAAATAAATAATTATCCCATCGGAGCAGCCTTTGCATTGTTATAGCTCAATTCTTGTTTCATAGCACTTCAATGTATAAAACTGAGCACACGTGCGAGTAATACAGTACAGAATGTCAACAGCCAGACACACAATTACAGGCAGTGGTTAATCAGCAGCAGCACACAACTCAAAGCTGGTAGGCAAGTTTAAAACAAAACTCATGTCATTTTGGAACTCTGATAACACTCTGACCCAACACTAAAAAAAAAAAAAAAGACTAAATTTTGATTAGGAGAAAAAAAAATACAATCAAACTTTTATTGATGTGTTACTAGTTCCAGTTCCTCCCCTCACTCACATACCAAAAGAACTGAAGCAGTCCAAGAGAATTTCCCAGTATTTGCCACCTACAGATAAGATGTTTGAGGACTCAAAAGGTATCTTGGAAAAGAATAATCTTTTACTTTAGTGGAATGGATTATGGGAAGCTGACTCTCTAGACACTGCCTACAGACATTTTAATTCCACTAGCTGCCTACACGACAGAATTTGAAAGATGTTGGTGAAGATTCATTCCCTTACAGTCCAAAGCTCAAAATATGTACAACTAAGTTAACGAGTACTACTAGTATGAAGTCCTGCTCCTACCTGAAATCGGAAGGCAAATAAGCATTTTAGATACTCAGTATGAAGCTCCTGCTGAACTACAAGTTGAGCTTTAAATCAGAACAGACAGCAAAAGGCCAAGGAAATGAAAAGGCCTTTTTGATAAAAAGACTGCATTAAACCAGAAGCCTTGCCTTAGCTGCAGCAATCTCTCTAGGATTCAAAAGCCTGTGTGCCAAACTACTGCCAACCAGAAATAGACCTAACTTCAAGCTAACCCTTGCATCATTTCTGAATGGCACTCAAGCAACACAGTTTCCAAGGCAACCCCAAAAAGAAGTCATCCATGTTACACAATCCTGCAGTGAACAGCTTCAACACTTACTATCTGTTCTGACTTGGCCAATTCTGATCGTGTAGTTCACAAGTGTCACAAAAAACAAGCCACAGTTGAGAAGATAACAGGCACAGTTCAATTTTTGATTAACAGATTTTTTTCATCACTTGTTTTCAATTCTTAAACATTCACACAATAATACATTTTCTATTTCAAACAGTACAGATGCCATCACACTTGTGCAAACAGTAAGCACAGCATATTGAGGCACAAAGAAGCCAGAAGGAATTCAAGTAACAGTCAGAAAGTAATTTGAAAGATGCATTTTTTCTAAATCATATAGGTCTTTTACACTATATTAAAAATAAGCTGATTTTCCCATCCACACAAATTAAACAGCTGACTTGCCTATATATACATACCAAGTAATGAGATACCAGTTTAATTTTTTGGAAAATTTTTCATAAAAGATGACAATTTTCTATAAAAACTAGTCCTCGACTGCTTGAAATCTATGAACCCACCAGATAAGTAACTATTATTTAAGAGAAATTATTACTTTTTTTAAATAAAAATATATACGTTTCTCTATAGTACCTAATGGCAGCTAAAATATAATGAAAAATTTACAGTGAACTGGTCATACAAAGAAAAATATTTTAAACTGTTTCTCTAGAGATAAATTCCTTTGAAAACAAACAAACCCAAAAAATTTCATATTTTAAATGAACTGGTCAATAGGTTAAGAAAGATAAATAGTGTTAGGACACCGCAGACACTCCTGCTCACATCACACCGAATCATTACAACTTTTGGTCTTTGTTACAAATGCTGTAAAAGTGTCTCTATGGGGGAAAAAAAACCCCAAAAACAAACCTGCAAGGTTTCCCCCATTCCCAAGAAATTAAAACAGTAAGCCATTAAAAAAAAAAAAAAGAAAAAAAAAAAGAAAAAAAAAGGAAGTGTTTTAAGAGGCATTTCTTTTAGCTTGCATGATATAGCCTTTGGACTTGATAATTCCTCTGCTTTTAACAATGACTGAATACCGGAGGAGCCATAAAGGAATCCATTCGTGTGCTTTCGTGTTCTGGATGCTTTCCTGAAGAACTTCTTGGAAACTTGCTTCACAAAGTAATTCTGAAGTTAAAAAGGGATATTCATGCTTTAAATAATGTCATGTAAACAGCTGCAAAGAGCAATACTTAGTAAGAGAACCCTTTTCCTACAGTCAAAAATCTTAAGCAGTGCCAGATATTCCACAGATCCACTCTTCCGGAACGCACATAGGGTAAAAGCAGCTGAATATTACAGAAGAAATCTTCAGGACACTGTTTTTGCAACACTGAGTATTTCGCACAAAACTAATTAACTGAGATTTCTACAATATCGAATGGAGTTGATCAGCAGAGGGGTTAGCAGGAAAAAGTGACCATGAGATGTGAGAAGCTGGCTAGACAGAGCAGAGGCAAGTAAAGCATAAGCCTGAAATCATCAAAGTACTGAGCATTCTCTGTTAACCTCTGCAGTCACTGGGAGCTCAATATTTATAGCATCTCCCATAACTAGCCTCATAGTAACCACAAGTCCAGAACGCATTAAGAAAAACAGGCTTAAATGCAACAAAGCAGAAAAGGAAGGCAAGTACAAATCCTCCTAGCTCCCTCTGGAAAGTCAGTCAAGGGAACAATTTCTTTGATGAGGACTGTCCCCAAAAGACAGTCTCCAGAGTGTTCAGCTGACCATTACAGAAAAGTTAAGCTTAGCAAACAATGCATAAGGGAATCGCTACTTGCTTTGTTTTCTATCCAAATCATCTTCTTCATTTCATGACTCTTGATAGAGAGTATTTGTTAAATTGCAAGTTACACTTTGGACTTCACAGGACATGGAAATTGTCGGATTGGCAATTCACCTTGTATGCTGCCAGAGCAGTGCTGACACAGGCTCAAGCACTGATGAAATTCATTAGCTGTAACAGTGGTAAAGCATGTACTTCCTAAATAGCATTTCATGTACCTCTTTTATTTGTGTGTGTTGGGGGGAGGAATGGGAAGAAACAGAAACTATAAAAATATAATCATCATGAATAGTTGGTCATAAGGAAGAATGTAGGGAAGGAACAAACTAAGTATTGTTTAAGACTTCTCACAATTTCAGCAAGATATTTAAGGCATTATTATAGTGAAGAAGATCAGAGGATGCTTGAGAGAATCTAATATAATTCCCGGACTGCTATAAGGAGTTGTTAACCCACAGTTCTAGAGTCTAAAGGAAAGCCTCCAAGTCCCTCAATCATTTACTAAGTGAATCACTGCACAAAACAAGTAAAGAATAAAGAATTTGCATCAACTCGTTTTGTAATAATGTTATTTTAAGAAGTCCCTACTTCAAAAGAATTCTGCTTAATGAGTAATGATTTTACATATTGTCCTGGTTTTAGCTGGGATAGAGTTAATTTTCTTCCTAGTAGCTGCTGTGGTTTGGATTTAGCATAAGAATAATCTTGATAATACACATTGGTTTAGTTGTTGCTAAGTAATGCTTATATTAAGTCAAGGACTTTTTCAGCTTCCCCTAGAAGCTCAGAGGGAGCATAGAGAGGACAAGCTGGCCAAAGGAATATTCCATACCATAGATGTCCGCTCAGTATATAAATGGGAGTTGGCTGGGGGTGGGAGGGGGCAGGAATCCATGATTGCTGCTCAGGATGGACTCATCATGTGGTAAACAACTGTATTGCATCACTTATTTTATATATTCTTTTATCATTACTGTTATTATCTTCTCTTCCATTACCTTGTGTCTACCTCAACCCATGAGGCCTCCTGTTTTTTCCCCCTGATTCTCCTCCCCTGTCCCACTGGGGAATGGGGCAGGGAGCAAGTGAACAGCTGCACAGTCCTGGTTGCTGGTTGGGGTTAAACTACAACACGTCTAACGTTACTGAACTACTCAGAAATCAACTGACCATCAATATTTTTACGCAAGCTATCTCACAGACAAGTTCTGAGTAAACAGATTGTCATTTGTCATTTAGTGGCCTTCAGCATGACAAGTTTCATTTCATTCTATGTTTTGTAGAAATAAGCTGTTTTTTAAACATATGTAATACAAATTTCTCATTAGTTAGGTCTTCAATTTACTTTATTTTCTCTGATTAAAATGGTTTCAAGACACTATCCAAGCTGGAAGACTGCCTTTTCCCTCCCTTTCTTGAAGCAAAAGCAGGAACTTAATAGAACTATTTTACAGAGGAGAAACTTTTAGAATCCTTTGTTCAAGATTCAAATGTAACAAACTCTGAAGTTTGGAGAAGATTATTCCAAATTCTGTACTGAATAAATGCATTTAGAAATCTTCTGTTAACTTATCTGGCAAAGCCTTACCTTTTGGGTCATTGTGAGTTAACAGCTGTATGTCAAACTGTTTTGCAAACGCTGTGAGATCAGGTGGCATCACACAACAGGAAGCTAAGTTCACCTGATTACTACTTGGTTTCACCTGAAAATAACAGAATACTTTTATAAGGAAAAAAAAAATTAATGTACTTATTTTAGTTGTTTCCCCCATGCCCTACATTGCAACAGAAATTTTGCTTCGAACAATTTGCTTTTGACCATTGTTTTGAGGTCTCAACAAGGCTAATTAATTCTGCATGATGCTGAACACACAACTCCTACATCAGCACAGAGCCCAAAACAAGAATAGATCTAACTTCAGGTGCTGCCACAGCCAAGGTGAGTTACTAACCCATTCTTGCTTCCTGTCTGCTGTGCTCCCTAAACAGCAGCAGGGGGTTAGGCTTTTTCCCCCTCCCTAGTACAAACATAATAGGAATGTTACTTTGAAAAAGATGTCAAGTAAAAAAAATCCAAAAATATTTTTGTTAAGGATATATAATTTGCAGTCTTCTATGCCTTCAGGTAAGTGCCTAAATCAGATTAAGTAAAAGGGGCACCCTTCCACTCTCTCTGCTTATCACAAACTGCATTCATTATTGCCATGCAGGTGGTCATTTATCCCCTCAATTATCCTCCCCATAGAATACACAAAACAGCAAGGAGCACAAATCTGGACTGTCAGCAGAACCTTATATATAGATACAGTATGTCCACATACCACAAAAGAAGTATTATAAGAGAAGTATTCAAAGAACTAATATGGAAACTGCAGATCCACAAGCTTACATGAGCATGGGCACACACTAGTACAGATCTCCATCACTCAAATGTCAAGAGGCAATTAGTCACATTGGACAAAAAAACCCAACATTTTGCCACTTCATTCACAGCTGGCTTCCTCTTTACATTTAAGCTTAGCATTCAAGCAGTGTTTTTGCAAGAGGAATCCCTCCATTCACAACACAGCTTAAAGTGAAAACAGCTATGTTTTTAGATTCACCAGAATAAATGTGAAGTTTAAGAAAGAGTACTGTTTATACTCCTTCCCAAATACAAAAGCATTCAAAACTGAAACCTTCTGTACTTCAAAGAACCTGCTACTGAACAGGTCTGTGGTTTCCAGCCTGTGCTGGTCCATATGTATAAAAACACTGAACAAGTGACAGTCACACTGAGCCTCCCCGACCTTGAACCACCCCCACCTTATGGATTGTGCCCATACATAAGATGCTGAAAATAAAAGGGCTAGGTAATATTTTGCATATAAGCCCATTTATAACAGAAGCTTAGAACAACATGGCAGCCAACAAAACAACAGTTTCTCTGTCCTAGAAATGCTACAAGTCAGAAGCTTGTCCTCACCTGTGCCCACAGATACAGCTGCTCTAACAGTGTTTTATCTAGGTCAGAGGTCCCTATGGCAACAATCTTTTTGTTTTGAACTAGATTTTCAAGTTCTTTCCAATAAGGTTGCAAATACTCCAAGGAGAGGCTAGTTCCATCTTCAACGGGAGGTGGGGCAATAATGACAGAGTCTAACTGCTCAACTCCAAGGGCAGAACACGCTGAGGAAAAAGAACAGAGATACTGCAAAATCTTTTGAGAGATACAAACACAAGCAGCACAACTCTTCAAATTCTGCAAAACCCACATCTCCTGCTTCACTCTGCTGGCTTCCCATTCACCACTTGAAACCTCGAGCATATCAGCAGTCAAGGATTGCAACACAATGTTTTCAGCAAAGAATCAAAGACGCAACTGAAGGACAAGTTTCACTTGTAGGTCTTGGGAGAAAACCCAACAAATCAACAAAAACCACACCACCCAAGTAAGCATGAAGCTTTTTTCTCCTTTTCAATGTTAAAACTGTATTTTTCTCTCAAGACAGTGGTGACATCAAGAACTCTTGATTTCTTCACTCTCAATTTCTTCCAAAATCTGTAAGTTTCACTCTGAACTATAACTCAAGTACAGGGCATGGACTAGGATAACTATATGATATGAATGTAAGGAATTAAAATTAAAAGCACACTGAATATAGAGATTTAAATTGCCAAAGAGAAGTGACAAGTCTTGGAGTACCACTGAACTTTAGGAAAGATGCAAATATAATAAAGCCAAACAGCTAAAGAAATTATTTTTTTGTGAGGGAGGATTCTATCAATGTATTTTTAACAAATGGAACTACAACATACAATAAGGAGGCTATTAACTGGGGTATCATCAAGAGAATAGAATGATATCTGGCCCTTTGTTCTTTGGTAACTCCTTATCCCCAATAATCTTCCAAAGTGCAAAGTTCAGTGCTGTTCACAATTACTTCTATGTTAGGCTAACAGAACTTTATGTCTCAGTACAGCCATTGTATGGTATTTTCAATAAAACTTAACTATTTCATCATCTGCTTGCAGCGGTTTTATTTCCTAAATAATCTCTAAAATACTGCAGAGTGAGTAGTGAAGTTCATCTTGTTACAAACAACTGGCAACTACAACAACTGGTAAGAACTACTGCATCATTGTTGCTAAAACATCACGTGCTATTCACTTTGTAACAAGTTTTGTGTGAAAGAATAAAAACTTGCTTCTGTGTGGAGCAAGGAGTCAGATTTGGGTTTGTGGACCCAAGGTTACCGCAATCCACATTTAATAAGTTTACTGACTAAAGTGCAAATAGACTTGGTTACCTAAGTCTCTCAATAGGAAAACAGAACATACTTGTGACAGTCACTGAATACACCTCTTGGATGGAAAAGCTTCTAATTTCAGTTCTAAATACTGAGGTAAAAAAGAAACCCTACCGAGTTCAAGTTTCACACTTACCAAGGTCAACTGCATCTCTGATTGAAGAAGAGTTTGATCCAACGATGAAAAGCTTTGCTATTTTCAAAGAAACTGGAATCAATAACTAATCAATCCAGCTATTACGAAGTATATAGCTATTTACTTTTCCTATATACACTACTTAGGAGTTCTTGGGTAAAGGGTTCTTGGAATAAACACCAATTACTTCAAAAACTGAGGAAAAAAAAAAAATCTACCTTCTGATAAGTGACTGCCCAATATAGATACTGTTCTCTTAAATTTCAGAGTTGTTGTGCAGGCTCAGAATAAGAAATCATCAGTTACATGATCTAATAAGCTGTAAAGCTAGGACTTAAGCATCAAGACACTAAGCAATAACCATAACAACCTGTATAAAAGCCCCAAACATAACATACAAACAGACCTCTTCACAACTTACTGAGACTCAAAATGTACTAGTGTTAGTTTGGACTGCCTCCTTCAAGTTCATCATATTCAACCTGGAAAAATTATGCAAATAAATGTGCTTCCAATGCTATTTCTTAATTGCAGTATTATCTGTAATATTTCACTTCAGAAAAGTCAAAGATTCATAAAATAAATTTATAATGTCTTGAGGGGACATAAGTTAAACTAGAAAAATGCTGAGCTGCTTTAAAACCTGAAATATGATTTCAAGTCTGAGCCAACTTCTAGATTACCCAAATGACAGTGTGCACCGATGTCATTTGACTTTGCAATTACAAAACACGGCAGAAAGAATTACATATATGAACATCCTATTAATGACTGCATATGAAACTTTTTTATGCCACCAGATTTTTGACTACGCTCTTACCTGAAACTTTCAACTCATCCCTTTCTTCGGGATTTATTTTTTCTATAGCTTGAGCTACAGTGCATTCCAGAACCTCCAGTATTTCCTGTAGTAAGTACACGAGACTTAGGAATAACTCTTCACAAGGAGGCAGTAAGTTCCTGAAGAATGTTTTAAAGTAACTTAAGTAAAAAAAAAAGCCTAAAAGCCTTACAGCAGTTAGAAACAAAAACAATATAAAAATGCAATAATGACAGAAAGAAAGTAACCCAATACTTCTTGATCTCTGAGGAGAGGTCAGGAAAATGAAGCTATATGAAAGGCTCTATATGTATAAGCCCCAATATAAAATATTACAAATTACCAGTAAGAATTTTTGGAATACGCTTTAGTAGTGTTGTGATCTTCTGCTGTGCCAATTCAAACTGCCTTACTTTAAAAAAAAGCCTCATGACCAGCTGAAAAAACCTATCAGAATTAGGGTGTTTATGGGTCCTGGGTAGGAACATCTTTGCATAAAAGTATTGTGCAATTTCAGTAAAGTCTATGAAAAGCCTACAGTGAAAATGCTGTAAATTACAGATTTAAAACAGTATTTTTGAAACTGAAAACTGATGAATTTTCAGAGATTTCACCTTCTGACCTCATTTATGGTATTATGACATCTCATGTCAGCTGGCACAAGGTGACTTATCTGAAGTTCTTACCTACAGGAGACCTTGTGTTACACACACACACACGTCCCCAACAAAGGAGTCTTTGGTAATTTTTGCTTCCCTACCAAAAAACCCTCAAGTAAGTCTTCAAGTTATCCCATACAGTCAGCATTTTAAACAAAAGTTTTGAGGTTTTTTTTTTTAATTACTGGAAACCATTATAAGAAACTCATAAAAGAATTTGGAATTATGCAGTTAACATGTTTTGACTGTAAACCTTACCTTACACTAAATAATTAACTCGAAATGGATCACTACATCTTAGAGACAAACGTTTGTTATCTTTTTGAGCAATCATTAGATGTTCCACAAATCATTCAGCAATAACTGCCACGCCATGCTGCAGTGTGGAATGTAGCAATGGCAGTTGATGCCACCGTTACACAAGAACTGTTAAAACCCAAAGAAATGGTCAGGGAAGTTACCTGGAGTTTTTGTTCATTTGTTTTAAATGAAACGTGCCAGTATTTCACAGAGCAAATATTCTCTCTCGTGGAAACCAATTACCCCTTTGATGAATTTCAGAAGCAATATTGAAAGAGGAGCAGACAAATACACCGAGATCTTGGTGTCAGATGTCCATGACTCTGGTTTTAAGAATTACGTGGAAGTCTTCAGCCCTCAAGGAAAAAATTGTCACTTTGACATCTTCAGAAATATTTCTGAGACAACCAAGGCTACACTTCAGAGATCCCCTCCAAACAGGATGATCTTCAGCTGCCTAGTTTGTCATGTCCATTGTTTAGATAGTTCTCCATTGAGTTTTTACAAGCACACTAGCAAACTTCTATGCTACACAGATTATTTTTTTTTTAATTTTTTTGTGATTTCCCCAACAATTAACTTAAAATCTTACAGAGCAGGACTTTTATTTTATTAAGAATTGCCTTATTTGCCATCAACGGGATTCTTTACTTTGGTATTTCTTAACTTCTCCAGATTTTCTAAATATTAGGAAAAAAAAAAAGAAAGTGTATGTGAAAAAGTACTCTTTTAAGATATCTGGAGTTGCAGATACTTCTACAGAAATTTAGTAGATTTGTTTATATTTTAAAAGGTGTGAAAACAGAGAAATATGTAGTTGGTTACATGTAACATGGATACCATGCATAACACCTCTCCTACCTGATTTGGGTCTTGTCCAATCTTTGAGCTCCATTCCGTCAGCGTTTTCTGAATGCAGTCCCGCACCTACAAAATATTTTTTCATATTGAAGTGAAGGTGTTACAGCTGCACAGAAATATGATTCATAGGTATGTAGGACACACTGAACAGGTGAACTCATGACACCATTCCTTCAACCACAGAAGATTCTTCCTTCATAGCTTCCATCTGAAACTTGTTCAAACTAGTTTACTCTAATATTTCCCTCTCCTCTTTCACAAAGAGTTAGCAGTAACACAAGCACTGTACTTCAATTACTTCTCAGACCAATGCCATCTTTAAAGGGAAGAACAATGCTAAGCAACAAGAAGTAGGGTGTGAGGTGTTGTGGGGCTTTTTTTGTGTAGAGATTCTCAAGTAACAATGCAGTCAGAGAACAGCATACATGCTATGACACTATTAGAAATGAGACATTACAATCAATCACTAAATACTCATTATATTAATTACTTCTCTTTCCAAGATGTATCTGACCCTTTTCATTTACTGCCTGCCTATCGCACTGTGCCAAACCACTAATGCTTTTAAGTCCTCCATTACTAAAGGGGGAACCTTCAGATCCTGCCCCACACTTGCATTTTTCCTGCATCCACCCATGCAAAATAAACATAACTAAGATTCTGATCACGGATTTTCTTGAACTTAATAAGGCATAACTATTAAGTCTAAAGAGGCTAATTCACTGCATATTGCACCCCCACTTCAGCTCTACCAGTCAATGCTCCAGCTTCCCTCTGACACATCTCGGGAGTAGTTACCCTGCAGGCTAAATAAACACACTGTGGAGACTGCTATATGCCACAGGTATGGAGCACTTTCATGAGCTGCAGCTTTACTTCACTTTCAGCAATGTATTTTAAAACTATGTGGATATCTTCTTTTTGTACCATTAAATAGCATTTTCCTGTGACATTAATTCAGAGAGCTCATGCTATGCACAAACTAGAAGACAACACACACCCACGAAACTGGATTTCACAAAGTTTAAGACAGTAATAATACTTTGTAAGCACAAATTCTATACATTCTTTCGCAGTCATTTAAAACGGCATGAAAAAGATAACTAAATCAAAAAGGTAAGAATTTATTCCTGCCCACTAAATAGTTATCCACAATGCTGGAACTCTTTAGCCTATTTTGATGCAACTCATAATGCTATCTTTTCCTTTCTGAAACAATGTGAAACAGTGGTAAATATGTATATTCTGTATATTGCTACTTTGCAACTGCCACACTTTGTACTTCTAGCACAGTGAGTACGCACAAGCCTCTCTCTCCCAAGCACACCATTCCCCTGCCCTCAACACATGTGAAAAGTGCAGTGTATTTGACCAGTGCTTTGACCAGCTTTTCCAAATGCATCCCCAAATTCTTAACATTAGGGTCTGTAGCTTGCAAAACTTTAGCTTACATCTGCCCCTGAGAACTATACACACAGTAACTACACCAAATAGAAGAAATAAAAGCCAATTTCTTCCAATTAACACTAACTATTTTTGGAATTCCCGCAACTCTGGAAAGCAGGCAGCCTTATGTTTAAATGCAGATTTCCCTGTAAACAGATGAATTCAAAATACTGTAACTGATTAGTTATGCACATTACCCACTCTTTTTAACAACCCTCCAGAAACTACTCATACAAGGGTGCCCATACCATACAGCTAACTCTTTGCTACAGAGTCTAGCCCTATTTCACACAGATCACAGAATGTTGGAATAAGCAACCAGGCCAAACAGAAGAAGTTACTACCACATGACAACTAAATAAAAGTATGATGAATTCTTCCTTCTCATTACATCATCCTCCCAGTCACCTTTCTTACCATTTGTGTGTGGTTAATACGCAATCAACCAACTTCTAGGTTATCAGCAGTGCCACTACATAGCAATAACCAGCCAAACTCATAGCTCTTCTGATGATTAAATGACCATTTTCAGATTATTGTGTCACGACGAGACAGCGAATACAGCGGGGTTCTGAAGTTCGTGGCCACGGGATCTCCAGCCATTTCATCAGGGTAACTTTAAGTGTTGATACATACTGCTAGGGGTAATAGTTTTAAAGCAGTAATTAAAAAGTTTGTTCAACTTTTCAATAAAGAACGATGGCTATATTTCATTTAAACAGCAATGACTAGCTTTCCTCCGACCTGTCACCACAACGAAATGACTAAAATTAGTTTCAGGTTGGAAAAGAGAAGGTTCACCGTTTGTAATGCAAGCTCACACCCGGTCACACCTTCCGAGGAATTACCAAGGGTCCCCTTTGCCACCACGGGCAGCGCTCCAATTTACAAGCGTTTTTAATCCCTCGTTCCCCGAGAGCAGAAAGTCGGTCTGCTTTCTTCGGAGAAACCCAAAAGGCAGCAAAGCGCTTTCTGGGACACGATGTGTGTGTGTGTGTGTGTGTGTGTGTGTAGGGGGTGTGGGTGTGTGTGGGGACTGTGGCGAGCGAGCCTTGTCCCGGCTGGCCCTCGGCCTCGCCACCGCGCTCCCTCAGGCGCTGCCCGCGGCCCGGCCCCAGGCCCTCGGGGCAATTAAACCCTCTTCCCCACCATGAGGGACACCAGGCCGCGTTGTCCACCGCCAGAAAAACCAGCCCTGCTCCGCATAACGCTCGGACGCTCCGCACCCACCGGCAAGGGCCACCCGGCTCTCCCCGCCCCCGCCGACCTCCCCGTCCCCGCCGCGCAGGCGCCCGCCACCCCTACCGCCTCAGGGCGAGCCCCCCCCCTCCTCCGCCGCGGCGCCCTGAGGGGGAGCCCCGGGGTCCGCCCCGCTCACCTCCTCGCCGGGGGTGGCCGGGCACTTCTTGCGCAGGCAGCCCCAGTTGAGGAGGTTGCCGGTCTGCAGGGTGAGGGTGGCCGCCCGCTCCAGCAGCGCGCGGGCGCCGTCCGTCCCCATGGGGAAGGGTTCGTGCTGCGGCAGCGGCGACGACTATAACGGTGACCGCCGGCTCTCCCCGCGGCACCGGGCAGCGCCGTGACTCAGCACAAACAACGGCGGCGGGAGGGGCGGGGGGAACGGTTTGTAACTGTCCCCGGTCACATGGCGCGCGGACAATGGGCGGCGGGGCGGGACCGGGGCGGGAAGGAGCCGCACGGTCGCGCCTGCGCGGGCCGGCCGGGCCTACGGGCGGTTGCCGCCGCTGAGGTGGGGTCTGGGGGACCCGCGGCACCGGGCAGCGCCGTGACTCAGCACAAACAACGGCGGCGGGAGGGGCGGGGGGAACGGTTTGTAACTGTCCCCGGTCACATGGCGCGCGGACAATGGGCGGCGGGGCGGGACCGGGGCGGGAAGGAGCCGCACGGTCGCGCCTGCGCGGGCCGGCCGGGCCTACGGGCGGTTGCCGCCGCTGAGGTGGGGTCTGGGGGAGGGGGGGGGCCCAGACCCCACCTCAGCGACAGCACCGCCCGTAGGCCCGGCCCCGGACCCCCCCCAGACCCCACCTCAGCGACGGCACCGCCCGTAGGCCCGGCCCCGGCGTTGACTGGCTGAGGAGGATTAAGGTTTGGGGGTATTAAGAGCAGGTGCCTTCTGGAAAGCCACGTTCTGAACATTAAAAGTCCTTCTGCGTTGAAGATCAAAGCGTGTGTTTCTTTTATTATTAATTTTTTTCTCTTTTTTTTTTTTCATAACTAATGTAAAGGGAAAAGTAAACCGCAATTGATAGTTTTTTGAATTGTGTTTCTGATGGGTTTTCCTTCCCCAGGCTGCTGGTTGTGCTCAGAGAACACATTTGCGTAACTTCTGTCAGGCTGAGGCGCTGCCCCATCGCTCTCTGGTACAGAAGGTTAGTTTAAATGTTCTTTATATTCGTGTTCTGATTACTTTTCCGTGTCGGATTACTCTCATGTATCTGAAACGTTTTCCTCATTGCATGAATACAGAGCATCTGTAAGGGAAATATGCTGCAAGAAGAGTCGGCTTATTTGAAAAAGCGGTAGTTTTGTTTTCTTTAACATAAAAATCCAGAAAGTCAAACCTGGCCCAAAGGTTGACCATCCAGACTTGTAATCAGCTCAAGAAGGAGTGTACACCTCCATGCTCCTCCACGGGGTTACCCATATTGACACTAGTAGTGAATTCTGTCCCGTGGGTCTTTCTGATCGACCTCCTGGCTTTCCAGTAGAAGGGAAAGAAAGGAAAAGCAGCCCTTTTCCAGAAGGGCTGGAAGCCAGCCCTTTCTTTTAGTGAAATTTATTCTGTGATATTTCATTTAAGTAGCTTTGATGGTTATAATTCTATGGAAGCAGGTTACATTTGGGGATTGCAGAAGGTTTTCGAACAGTGCCTAGCATAAATCTTTCTGTCTAATGGAAATTTATGGCAGTGAAAAAGCAATGTTCCTTTACAGCATTGTAGAATTTTCTGATATTTAATTACCTTAGCTCTAGAGAAAGGATATCACATAATGAAGACCAGTTGGAGGGAACATAGTATTGGCCTCTGTACTGCTTTATGCCGTGCATTGAATTCCCCGTGGCAGCAGGAACACATCACAGGAGAAGACAGGATCTCAGAAGAGTTCTGTGGTCAGTCCAGTCACCCCGAAACCCAAGGTAAACATCAGAGGAAGGAAGGAGGGCGCTTTCTGCCTCAGGGTCAGTTGTATTTTCGCAGGTTATCTCATTAAGCTACTTCAGATCTGAAAAAAAAAAAAAAAAAAAAAAAAAAAAAAAAAATTAAAGGACCTTGTTCAGCCTAGAGGAAAGAAAACTGAAGGAGAGCCGGGGGCGGGGGGCGGACGGAGGGAACCCGGGTCGGGCCCCGCAGCATCCCGCCGGCGGCGGACGGGGCTGCCCGGGGTCCCGGCGGACTCCTCTCTCTTCCCCGCTCCGTCTGCATTGGAGCGCCCGGGAGCCGGAGACACCCGCTCCCGGGTCCGCCACGGCAAGTCACCGCCGCTGGAGCCGGGGTTTCCTTAGGGCGAGGAGGCAGGAGCGGCCCCCGCCCGCCCCGTCTTTCCCTTCCCCGGGCACGGTCCCCTCGCCGCCCCTCTTCCCCGCGGTGGTCCTCGGGCGCGGCCCCGGAGAGAGGGGTGGGGGTCCCGGGCTCCGGGCGGGCTGCCGGCGGTCGCGGAGGGCGGCGGATCGATGGCTCTGGGCTTTCCGCGGATCCTCCCGAAGGCAGAGCCCCGGTCAGCCTGCCGGGGTGCGTCTGGCAGCGCATCATTGATTTCCTGCAGTAATTCTGTAATGTTCGGAGAAAAATAAATTCCCCTTTCTAATGCAGTGCCGCTGACTCGTCACTCCAGGCGGTGGGTGAACGTTACTCTCCCGTCCAGGTCTCTGAGCGCCGAGAGCTGCGGTACTCGGTTGGTGCGGGTCCCCGGCGGTCCCCGCACTGCCGCAGGCTGCCGGGGACACCGCTGCCGCCCTGACGCGGGCGGGGCGGGGGGGTCCGAGCGCCGCC